ATCTTTTGAAACTTTTTTCGAAAACAATTTTTTATTCTAAAGAAAAAAAGTAACATCTTTATTTTTTAAAACTCTGCTGTTAATTCCATTGTCATATTCTTTCACTTTTAAATAGGAAAACAGCTTTCAATACGTTTTGAAAAACTTTTGTGGACAGAGGCCGAATACTTTTATTTAAAAAAATATCCAGATTTTATAAAAACTATACCTCTTTTTAAACTATCTAAAATATCCTACAAGTTTGAGAACACTTAAATACTACACACACACACACACACACACACACAAAAAACAGAAAGCGAAAATTTTAAACTTGGTACATGTTCTTTCATGTTAAAGGATTTTTTTTCGAAAATAAACAAATAAACACGCTGACACGTTTCAGAAGAGAATTGGTTTATGTTTAATTTACCACAGAATGTGTTCTATAGAAAAAATTAAACAAGAATGAAATTCATAAGACACAAATAAGAATCTTTAAAAAGAAAGTTGTTATTTAGTGCAAATATTCATACAAAATGTTTTATTTTGTGTCCAGAGATGTTATTATTAAATTCACCATATCATTTCAAAGAATACAACATTTATTCAAGTAAACTAGCTGGTATATGAATTGGAGTTTAGAGTTGCAATATTTTGAAAAACAGTTTTCGTTTTAGGATAACTTAAAGTCGGCATTAAAAACTAAGTTTAATGAAAAAGAACTAAATATATCTCAAAAACGCTTGGAATCTTTATGCGTGAAAAACTATACATGCATTAAAAGGCTTAGCTTCGGTTTGTAATATATCTTTTTTTTTTCGTTAAAAATATGTATTCATTATTTTAATTCAAAAATGTTATTTGAATTCTAAATCGTTTGAAAAATCATTCAATGCAATTTTCATAGGAAAGTTAAAATCGATAAAATTTTGTGTTAGAGGTAATGATTTGTTCTATTTATTAAAATTAAAAGAATCTTTTAGAATCAAGCTAAAAAGAAAGATCACTGCATTAACATTTTCCTTTTTATTACAATGTTCGTCCTTGTTTTCTTTAATAATTAATTCATAAATTTAACATGGCATTGTGTATTCGTACAAGATAAATTTTCATTTTAGTGAAAATTATGTAGATAAACGTGACTTAGCCGTGTATTCTGTATGTACTTTTTTTAAACACGATAGATTTAACCTTTGAAGCATTTACTTGTATTATCCAATAAAATTTTAAAAACTGTATTAATACAAAGGTCATTACACTTACGATTAAAAATATTTATTTTCGTTTGGCATTCCTTGTTGAGGGAATATGTTTAACTTTAATAACAGTAAGTGTGGGAAAGGATTATACAGGGATATATATGCGACCACACCCAGTTATGGAGCTCATTATGGTGGTTACAATGTATTTAAATTCTTGGACGGGGAAAGATAATTAGAATGCAGAATACTATTAATGATATTTCTAATATACTTATCAAATTTTCCCACTCTTTTTGAATCAGAAATACTGGTATGAAACAAAAGTAAATATTGGAAATAGAATGCGATATTTTTTGCTTGAGTTTATGATCCTCAATATTACTTTTTTATATCAGCTCTGTATGTATTACAGGAATTGTGATTTATAAAAAAATTGCTACCTTGTTTTTTGTGAACTGTTCTTTTTACAGAATTTTATGCAAGCATTTTTTTCTCTCTTCGAACTCAAATATTTTATTCTTGAAAATTTGTCTTATTTTTCAAAACATAAACTACTTCTAAGCTAATTTATTGTAAATAAAAAATGAATTATACATGCACCCGATATATTTTAATATTTAAAAATAATGGTTATTTTTTAAAATTAGATAAAAAGGCAAAGGAATATGTTTTACGTAAGCTTTAGAGGTTAACAATACATTCAAATGTGTAAACAAACTATTTACTTTAACTGTTTTTATTGCGATATGTTTATAAATCTATAGAAAATAAACTAGATTCCCCAGTTCATGTAAAAAACATTTCTTTTCATTTTTACTTTATTTTATGTTTTGATACAGTAGAAATTTAAGAGAGATTATAACTTAATTAACTTCAATAGTGATCTCTTTTAAACAGCTTATAATTAATCCTTTTATTTGTGTGGTTATAAACAATATGTACTTTATAGCATTAATTAAAAAAATGCTTGGTAGATGTAACTAAGTTGAAAGTTTTTTTAACACTTTGCATCTTATTGAAAATTTGATAAAATATGTTGGAAAATTTAATGCACTGTAAACTAACTTGCTAAATGTAAATACTTTTTCGAATATATGCACGTTTCCTTTTATTAAAAATTAATTCGTTTCTTAAGATTTTTGAAAAAATAATTTATCATGAAGTATCAACCATATTCTAAATTATAATTTTAGCGTTTTACCCTTCTCTTTAAATAATTGTACAGGCTGAAAAAGTTTTACAAGATTTGGAATATAGTTTAAATAAACTCAGGGAATAATTGTGTCGGAAAATTTTTTTGAAGAATTATATATTTCTCAGTGATAAACAATTTCATTTTTCATTAACATTGTTCAGCAAATTGTTAATTTTTCTATAAAAAAGATCCTTAGAAATTAAATTATGATGCTGAAATCTTTGTATTTTTCATTCTCAGTTTTAATTGGTTGACGGTTTATTTGGAGCATTGTTTATCATAATTAAAAAGCCACGTGTTTCATTAAATTAAAAAAAATAAACTTAAATAATTCTACAAAACTAATATGATAAAAAATTGAACACATTCCTCAACATGCTCTTTTAATTAATCCACTTCGCCAGAGTTTTAATAATGTTCCTAAGAACTTCAAACTATCTGCTTATTCTAAGCCTAATTGTATGTAATATGACTCGCTCCAACAGACGAGTACATTTAAAATTAAACCGAAAAATTGAACATTCCAAAAAGCTCTTTAGTTCTTTTTTCTAACATTTCCTGGAGTAAAAATGTATGCTTTTAAGAAATTCTCTTTGACTTCAAAGTTCGTATTTCTTTCAGTGGAACAAAATGGTGGAAGAACAAAGTTCTTTTCATCCTCAACTACTTCACGCACAGAGCAAAATGTCAGTTGTCATTATAAAATACTCCCCAACTCGTAAGTCACTAGTTTAACTGGATGTTTTGTTCTTCAAACTACACTTAAATTGTTGACAGCGTTGTCTCCTTATTGGCAAAAGAAGAGTTTGAACCTTTGTTATTAGAGGGTAGAATTGGAAAGGTGTTTTAGTTTCTGCCTTTGTCGAAGATGTCGCTTTTTCGCATGGCTAACGATGGATATTGTTTTAGGGTTTTGTAGAAGGCGGCGAAGAATTTCAATTTTTGTGTTATTCGACTTTAAAGTTAGTGTAGAGTAAGCTTTTCATAAAGGTGACATATTTCTTTGATGTTGAACTCATTTTTACGGGTCTGAGGAATTGTGGCAAATAACTTAATATTTTCTGTGAAGTTTTTATACTTTGTAAAATGGAAATGAAAACCGAAAATTGAGTAACTTGAAACTCAAAATATATGTGTTGTATCTAAATAATTGACTTTCTATAGTGATCATACTGTTTTTATTCAATTCCATAGTTTCCACAAACTTTTTTTTCACTTTATTAATTTTTTATTACCTTCACTGTTTGTTCCTATAGCACATAATTTCAATTTAACATTATGAGTTCCTTTTCATTTTTTTTGTCGGTATATTTTTTATATTAAAAACATTATCTCTTCAGTAATTTATGTTTAATAGCATTTTAGTATTTTTAAAGCTTATGGATAAGTGTTTTTTGGATTTTTTAATTTGGAGTGAAGTTAATTAAATTAATCTTAGATAATTTAATTTACATTCTTTTTAAAGTCATAAAAACTTTTCAAAGTTCTTGTTTATTTCAATAATTTAACCCCAAATTTTTGTATGATATGTAATTTTTGATTATAAAAGTGATAATATATACTATAAGACATATTTTGGGAGCATTTATTGTAACTGTGTTTTATCCCTTCAAATGAACATAAAGCAATAAACCAGATTACGGCATGTGGTTAAGAGCACATAATTTGAATACTTAAGTTTCTTATAAATGCCTTATATATTTATTTATAAACACATGAATCTTTTGAGGAAGAGTTTTGATAAAACAATATTATAATTCACATATTTTTATTGTAGAGTACTAATAAGATTTTGTAATACATTTCAATTTCAACTATTTCAATTTGAAGGCTTACAATCATTCTTAAAAAGGTTTTTAAGATTTACCTAACACATACAACTTAATATTATAATTTTTTAAATATGCTGTTGAATTTAAGCATTCGGTCAAATTTTGGGCAATTGGTATGACTGTACAATTCTAAAATAATGTCATTTTTCCGTTCTCGTGTTGTATGCGGTAAAATAAATTATTTTATGCTTTTCATTCAGAAATTAAATTGCAATGCTTAAAATTGCTAGTTTTACTTGAAAAAACAAAACAAAACCAAAAATAATCATTCAACTATTTAATTTAAATGGACCTTTAAATCGGTTGGAAATAGGCAGCTTGAACGCTTAACAAGCTCAATAATACGGTCTTTATTTAAACTTTTATGTTTTGTTTCTCATACATATTTCTTATTGATAAAGAATCTTTTTATGTCTCGCATAGAGAAGAAAACAAGTAGCAATTGTTCCAAAAGAAATATTCTTGCTACTATTAACCGAGTCCTTAGTAAGTAATCATCGCTTAAAGACAAGTAATATAAAAAAAATTAAGTCAATTCCTACTTAGGTGAACAAAGAAAAATTTTAGTTTAGTTACTTTTTATCAAATAGTTACAATTAATATAAATATGTTTATATATATATGACACAGAATCGCAATATTAAGTGACAAAATAGAAAGCAATTTCTTTTGCAACTTTCCATTTTCCTTTCTATATAGGGTGTTGAACTATTTTTTGTTTGTTACTATTTATTCATTAATTAAATAAAATAGTATAGTAAAAATAAATCACGTTCTCAGAAATTAGACCATCCCAGGTGGAATTCGTACCCACCACATTTGGATTAGAAGTCCAAAGGGCTATCCATTGCACTACAAGGACGAAACGAACAATTTTCCTTTCTATATATGGTGTTTATTTTTGTTTGTTACTATTTATTAATTAATTGTATTCAATTAATGAATTACTGTACTGAATTTGAAAAAACTGTATGAACATCAAGTGTCATTC